GTGCCAGTTAACTCGGGGCATGAAGGAACCCCAGGGTCCTCCCTGTTGCTCCGAAAGCTGGGGTGGTTGTGTAGAACTGCCTGGGGAGCCTTGTGGGTCCTGCGCAGGGCCCTGAGTCCTTGTGCAGTGCACAGATGAAAGACTGGAAATGCTCACAGGGTCCCTGCTTCCCTTTGGGATCTGAGATTGCTGAGGGGTAGGCAGCTCAGGGGACTCAGTTGTCTTTTAGGCTGAAAGGGAAATTAACTTCTAGTTTCCTTCATCAGAAGTAAGGAAGTAGGCCCAGAGAGGTCAGGTGCTGACCCAAGGTAGTGAGACTGATTTTGTGGAGCCTAGGCCTCCAGAGGAGTGGAGTCTGAGGTTGCCTCCTGCCCTAGCGGACTGCGGGCTGCTGTGTTTGACCTCTGGGCCCCCTCCAGATGTGGAACATGAGAGGGCCATGTATTGGGTTGGGATTTATTTTGTTCAGGGTTTGGAAGTTCATAGGTTGGATGGTGGAAGCCCTGTTCCTGCTGGGGTCTGACACTGCCCCCCAGACCCTGGTCTTCCACTCTTGTTTATTAGGCTCTGAAGAGGAAGTTCCCAAGTGAATGGATCTGAAGGCTGTCTGTGCCCACCCTTTTCTTCCTAGTGTTTTCCAGGTTTAAGAAGACGCACAGTCGTTCCTGAAACAGCTGTGGCTCCAGTGTTACTGGCACCTGGTGGGGGGATTGGAGATGCATGAATGACACAGGTTACTGTGGGTGATTAGGAACAAGGAGGTCTGGAACACTCCTTCATTCCTGCGGCTTGGCTTTCTGCCTCTGAGCACTGGGTCAGGAAGGACCACTTTCACTTTTCTCTGCATAGACTGAGCTGATTCTTCCTTGGAATTTGCCAGTCCCCAACCCCTTGTCCTCAGTGGTACTGATGTCTCCTCTCTCCTGCTGCCACCTCAGTTCTGGGTAACCTCCAACCTGCGGACGCTTAGTTCCCAGACGCCGCAGATTTTTGCTGCCAGTGAGCCAATCTTGAAGTGCACCATGCTGTTTGATTTCATACATTGAACATTCTTGAAATGACAAAACTTGGGGACAGAGAACAAATTAGTGACAG